TCAAAAGGTCACGTATCCCGTAGCAGGTTTCCGGGTTGAGGCCTGACAGAATCGACTGTGGCTATCGTGAGACAACGAAATTCATTTGGAAGAACAAAAAATCACTCAGTATGGAAGAACATAGGTTGCGGCAAATTAACGACGTAGACTAAACAATGGTTCTTTGTTTAGAAAATCAAGATTAAAGGAAACGTACCCGCATCCACTTCATCAAGTCTCATAGTATCGCCTGAATTCCGTGTGCTCTGTTGAAAATTTCGAACTGCTTCTTTGATGCTGATTGCTCTTTCTATCTCCAACTGGGGCAGATCTTGCAGGCAGACTTCATCGGCCAGTGATTCTCCAATCAGGTCAACCAATGTATCCTCATACGGATTGTTCACTACCACAATTTTGATCTGCCCCAAGCTCTTCGCTCCTGATTGTTTTGGTCTGTAGAAGACGTTGAAAGCGAACTCAACGTTTGGTCGTAAAACTAGGCCAGCCGTGTGAAACTGGCTTTCAGTTTTTAATTCCTGCCGAATGTCATCTGAAATGCAGGCCATAGGTTAGTTGACCAGTAGAAAAGTGAGTGGAAAAAATACTACATTGTTGCAAAACAGAACGCAGTGGTCCTACCAAGGTTAGTGAGCTTAGATCTCTTCTTTTTTTACTACGAGGAAAATTGCAATAATTCTAGATGTATGTATCTATATAAATATAAATCATTCGTGATGAAAAAAATCTAAACTTGGTTGTAATGAGTAAGGAAACACGAACTGGTCGACAAAGATGGGTGTTTTCATTGGGAGTTATCGTTTAGAAACCCATGATCGGTAAAACCAGTAGTGCTGAGATAAACATACTCCCACTTTCAAAAGGATCAGCAGTTAATCTGAACTCTGTTGAATAATCTTACCAGAACTAGATAAAATATCCGGAAATTTTGCAGCCAATTTCGACTCGGGAAGCGCTTGGGGATTGAGAAACAGTAGAGCGGAATTCACTTGCACCGGTTCCAAGAAAAACACGTGATCGGCGTCAGTCAGAGTAAGGTTCACCTATTTGTTACAGGAGACAACAGAAGTCATGAAATTAAAACATTCAGCACACACAATAAAAACATAAAATGAAGAGATGCCTATAGTGCACAAAATGCTTTCAGATAGCTTCGAGTATTATTACCGAGAAAAAAGAAACACTTAGGTCACTGGTATATTGGCCATCAATTCATGGAATAGCCAGTCCTATTGATTAGAAACACAAAATGTGAGTGAACATACGAGGAATGAGCGAAAACGTTCTGGATACGCAGTACATGTACGAGGTGCAGATGACCGGACACGGAAAACGTGAACTATAAACTATTGTGATTGCAACTCCCAGAACCAACTATCAACAGCCGAAAACAGCTCACAAATAAGGGTAGCTATAGTCGAACTGTGAAGGGTGGAATTCAGTCGATATCACTGGAGGGCGATCATTTTCTACGACTAAAAATGTGGTTTAAAGCAGCAGTAGAGCGTTGATCTTTTGCGAGCTTCCTTTGATGGTGACGCGCCTTCAAGAAGCAATTTGTTTGAGTGGTTTGTGAAATTCAAGCGTGGCAAGTGGTCCCTCGATGATGAGACACAGTGTGATCGACCAGTGCAGACCTCCACAGCGGACATCAATGCTGTTTCTCAAGTAATTAAGGAGGAGGATGCGCGGGTGACAGTGTCGCACACGGCGAAAGCCATTGGAATCTCATCGGGAGCAATCCGCTTCACCCTACATCAGAAGCTCGGTTTCGGAAAAGTTTTCGCTCCCTGGGTACCCCATCAGCTCACTGGGGAACAGAAAGCAATTCGGGTGAATTTGTGTAACACCATGCTTATCAGGTGTGATGGTAGACGTTCCAATGCAGTTTGGGAGATCACCGGTGGTGATGAGACTTAGTTATGCAGTTTCGACCCAGAGACAAAGCAATAATCGGTTCAGTAGACGCCGGTTGGTGGGGAACCACCTTGGAAATCTCGACGCGAGCGCAGCGTGGCAAAACATATGACGACTGTGTTCATGGTCAAAACCGATAATCTGGCTACTGTACCACTCGTACAGCAAAGCACATTCACCAAAGACCAGTAAGTCACCCACTGTCTGCCAAAAGTGCTGGGAGCTGTTGCCAGGCGTCATCCAAGGACTGGAGCACGAGAGAACTTGCTGCACCATGACAACGCGTTTGCATACAGTTCCCATGTCGTCGGCAATTTTATGGCTAGATAACGCATCAAGGAGGTTGGTAACCCACCATACAGTCAAAACCTGGCTCCGAGTAACTTTTTCACAAATGTCAAGCGCATGATGCATGGAACCTGATACGAGTCACCACCAGCTGCAGTGGAGGCCTTTATTGACCTGGTCGAAGGGGTACCCGCTTCGGCATGATCAAGCTGTTTCACCAGATGGTTTGGGCCCACGGAACTGGGCATGAACGCTGGTGGAGAATACTTCGAGAAAATTTACTACTTAATTTTGTGTAACATAAAACTTTGAGTGCATCCGGAAACGTTTTCTCAGTCCTTGTATTGTTTCGGAGAAGCCTTTACAATCACATACGAAACAAAGTTCAGTGGGGTCAAACAAAAAATGGGTGAGTTATGTGCGTGATAATGAGTTCGAGAAAAATCAAATTGGTACACTATTAGGATTACGCAATCGAAATTCGTTTTGTTACGTTACGGTCATGTGAAAAGGCGATTTTCTCTTCCCTTGGCCGGGGAAGTTTGAGAGCTGGATTATTTTTTTCTGCGCGTACAGTTGAAACTTCATGAGTCGGATGCAAATCGCCTCTGTGGCCGCTAACTTCCGAAACCGTATTGCTCTCGAATGGTACGGTAAGACTCACTAAATGATTGTTAATGCCGAGAGCCTGCCAACCAATTGTCCCATCTCTACCACATGAGCAACAATTGAGCTTTACACGGCTCCACTCGCCCTCCCATGTCTCAGCCAGCGTGCATTGTGTTCTTTGACACGTTGAGGTAACTGCTTTGCTGTTCGACCCAGATAGGTCGCACCGCAACTGCGCTTGAATTGATAGATAACCACAGATGAGGTCAACATAGCAGTTTATCTTTTTTGTGGCATTGGATGTTTGGTGGTGTACAGAACACACAGCTTAGCGACATAAAAGGTGTATTTCACTGCATCGGATAAAACTCTACTGACCCTGTCAGTGGTGACATCTCCTTTGAATGAGATTTTTATTAAAAGAACCCTTTTCTCCACCTGTAGTGCTTTTGTGGCGGGTTGATACAATATGCCCCCTGAGTGATATTTTCTGTTTAAAAATGATACTAATCATGAGTAGTACAAAAATAAAAATATACACAGAATAAAATAGATGTATGATATGAAGTTATACGTTAATAATATTGGTTACACCAACAATAAAATTAAACAAAACGACTATTATATATGACGATAATAAAAATTAAAGAATAATAAAATAGATAACAGGCATATCAACAAGTATAAAGATGAATAATGAGACCTAAAAATATTAATACTAATACAAATATGAGGGATAATATTATATTACATTATATGTATATATCATACTACATATGTTTACATATAACCAATATATTTACTTTATATATATATAATGAATCTTTTTATATCATATAGTATATATATGTATATATATATTTATATATATCACATTATATTACATATATACATCTTAGATGTATATTATTATGCTCATGACGAAGAATCCAATCCGTTGGTTGCCTGGAAGAAATTTATTGACAATCTCACAAATCTAACGACATCCGTAACTAAGATTAGAGTAAGCACCAAATCCGGCATCCGAAATTCACCTATTCGAAGCCGCACAAGCAAATGGCTGTCGACGAGGNTATCCTGGAGAGATTATAATCGTCTTCTGAATGTTATCACGTGGAATAATTATCGCATGCTGTGGAACCACTGCACCAAGCTGATTCGTGCAGATAAACCGAAATACTAAGAGACGCTAGCACAGAGATTCAGTTCTAACCCTAAGCTGTTGTACAAACAAGTCAACTCCATTCGGAAAGTATAGTTTGGTATACCGGTACTAAGTAGCGCTGGTAGAGTTGCAGCCACTCCAACGGAAGCAGCTGAAATGCTGAAAATTCATTATTCCAATGTTTTCGCAGCACCACAGGTTGATGATTTACAACTGCCTCCCCCTTTGCATCATCTTCCACGTCCTCCACTGATCTACGTATCATTTACTGCTGAAAATCTCAAAGCGAAAATAATGACTTTGAGAAAAAATACAACCCTAGGTGCGAACAACATACCCGAAATTTCTGATTATTTTGGTGAATCACATATCCGAACCGCTAGCCATTCTGTTTCAACGAATGTTCGACCAAGAAACACTCCCAGAATCGTGGAAACAAGGGGTCAATTTGCCCATATACAAAGGTGGTTGTCGTAGTGACCCCGCTAACTACTGATTTGTAACCCTGCTTCCGGTGTTATCGAAAGATATGGAGTCAATTGTGGCAAATTCTCTGATGGAACACCTCGAAAGATACAACATTCGTTCGACAGCTCAACACGGGTTTAGGTAAAAACGATCCTGCTCCATCAACTTGCTTCTTGTTCGAGATGAATGAAACAAAACAGTAAACAAAGGGGATGCGGTGGATGCGATTTATCTAGACTTCTCAAAAGCATTTGATCGGGTGAATCACAAAAGTTTGCCGCAGAAGCTCTATAATTATGGTGTTCGAGATTTCGAGTTTGATTAGATTAAAGCATTCCTCGAACAACGGACCATATCAGTTCGTGTTTCTGATTTCATATCCGGATTTATCAAAGCCACCCGCGGTGTTCCAAAAGGGTCCGTACTCGGTCCCCGGCTGTTCATCGCATTCATAAATGATCTACCGAAAGTGTTAGGCCCAAAATCAATACTGTTTGCAAACGACGCCAAGATCTGGAAAACAGTAACAGAACCCGAGGACTCTTTAACACTTCAGGAATCAAAGTATTGAAAATCGGTTCTCTTAGCTCGGATGAACTGCATTCCATTTCGCCTGTTCGCCGAGCTTGGCAATCTGTTTGCAAATGTTTCATCACCAACCGAGGTGACATCATCTGTGCTTGTGATGTGGCCACTTCAGGAATCACTCAACGCAGCTTATCAATGGTCTGAGGAGAACGACATTGAATTTAATGTTTCTAAATGCAAAGTTTTATCCCTATGCCACAAGAGAAATTTCTCGTATTTCCTAGGGGATCAGCAGCTACCAAACACTTTTAATGAAAAGGACTTGGGTATTGTTGTTCAAGAGGATTTAATCTGCTCCATCAATTGTGCTAGGGTTTCGTCCGCTGCTATGAAGAATGTCGGCTTACTTCGGCGAGTCTTTGGCCGGTTTGAATCATCACTATTCCCACGTTTGCTATCAGCGTACATTCGTTCCTACACAGAGTACACCATTCATCCTTGGAGTCCATGGCTTCAACGTGATCGCAAGATGCTTGAGCGTCCACAAAGGAAGGCCACCAAGATGGTCAAGGGATTCCATTACCTGTCATACGAGGACAGATTACGATCATTGGGACTATATTCTGCTCATTACCGCCGAACTCGAGGAGACTTGATTTTGACGTGTCAAATACTGCAGAACCCAAACCATCCGTGTCGATCGCTGCTCATGTCATCGAACAATATATACCTAAGGGGACACCGTTTCAAGCTACTGATTCCAAAGTGTCGACTGGAGTGCCGGTGCCAGTCTTTTGCAGTCAGAGTATACAGTTCTTGGAACGCCCTTTCATCTCATGTCGTTTGTGCACCCACTATTGAGTCATTCAAGCAGAGACTGGATGAAACCTTGGCACACCTCACATTTGTACACCACTAAATGAAACGCGAATTTACTGTAGCCTACATTCTCTAGTATCTCCTACCCGGAAATCTACGTGACTTCTTTTTCGGCATGTAACGATTCAACTGCGTAAATATCCTATGGGGACCAGAGAAGCACGAGCTTGTAAGTTATTCCCATAATAAAACTTTGACTTCGACTTTCCCATCCTTTAATATAATAAGTAAGATATATACATGCATAATATATGTATATACATATATTATATAATATACATATATATACATAATGTTTACTTTATTATATTATATTATATTATACTATATATATTATATATATAATAGGTCTGTCAATAATTTTATAGATAGATAGATAATTGTTCAGATGGGATCAATCTCATATTCTGGGCATATTCCGAACTCCCGAAACCACAAAAAATCACCTGACATTGCTTCAAGGTCATAAATTAAAACAATAGCTACTAAAATCATCTTTTCATAACAATAGCATGTCTACATTTGTACATAATAAAATAAATAAGAAATTATTATTAAAAAATAAAGTCTTACAACCACTTTGAAAAAATTTAATTTCAGAAGGTTCAGCCTGAGGCCGCTTTGTATCAATCCGCCGCTTTTGTTGCTTTATTGTGTTCAGTTCAAATAATATCGGTGACCTTCTCAGGATAGCCACTTTCCAGTAAGTTCTCGTCACTAATTCAAGTTCCTCCTCTGAAATATCTGCTGAACAGATGCACCTTACAATAAACGGCGTACGAGGTTGTATTCCTGATAGAGTGGGAAAAAGCGATGAAAATTTGTGTACTATCCACCTATGGTTATTTTCAGTAGATCTCCCTTTGGATAGAACCATCTGGGCGTCTAATCAAATGAACGGAAGGCAATCGCTCTTTCCTAGTTCAGTTTTGAACTTAACTGGGGAATAGGATGCGTTGAATTCTGACTCAACATGATAGAGATTAGTATCCTTTCAGTCACACAAAAGATATCCTCTACATAACCGTGAAATACTTTATAGCAAGTTATAGCTGTAGATAAGGAATTTGTCTCTGACCTTGATATGAAGATATCGGCAAGAACAGGTGTAAGGAGTGAGCACATGTCAAAACCATCGATTAAGCGGTAGAATGTGTTGTTATTCAACAATGTTCGCACGCCGCAACAGAGCAAAGTGGGAAGAAGGTGGAACAGTAAGAATAGAAAAACGTAGGTAACTGGGATAACAAGATTTTGTTTGTGTTTCACCGTACACGTTTTGATATTTTTGTGTTCTTTGTTGTTTTTACGGGGCACGTGATTTCGACAGAAAGACTGTACAGCATTTGCGTCACTGACTTCTATTCTGGGCTATCTATCAGCGTCTCTAACCAACGACATTCCTCATTCCTTGGGCACCAACCCGTAAGGCGGGCTGCACCAACCGAAGCCAAAGCTGAAGCCAGGTTCTTCATGCCTCTACGGCATTGTGGATAGAACACAATATTCAATTCGGAAGTTACAGAGAAAACATATTAAATTTCTGTTAGCTAGTGCATGAGTTCATTTTTTGATATTTTTTATTCTGGTGAAATACTGTTAATTCTTTCGTTGTATCCGTGTACCATTGTTAAACATTTTGTCAATCGTGCCTTTTGCTGCCAGAAATATGTAAGCAAGTGCATTTGGTTCCAAGGAATCGATGTTATTCGAGGGGACCTCTGCCTCAATGGACTTTACTGACCATTCTACCTTGGGTCTAGATTGAATCGAATCATGCAATAATTCATCCCCATCGGGACGTTCATTCTCGCTCGGTTATTCACTCAAAAAGTGCATTTATTTGCCTGTGGGGAACTCAGTTCGTTCCGACTGGACGGTTACTCGATCCAACCGGTGACGTATAACAGTGAGGCACCCATCATTTTGTGCGGTTCCCAGTAGAATGCGATTGGTTGGATTCACTTAAAGTTGAAAAAGTATATCTTTTTCGAAGATCTTGCCCGACTGTTTTCAAACGGTACTTCTTAATCAACCTGACATTCCTCAAAATGAGGACATCACATGTGATGGCGCTTCAATCGGAACAAGGCCTAACTGAATACAGAAAAAATTATACACGTACCCATCAGGAAGGCTTGAGAAAATTCTTATGATTTTCACTCAAAAACTGAACTGATAGTTGGTATTGTGCATAGTTCTTGCGAGCATAACGGTTGAGAATTCAATGGTATCCTACTGATCAAGAGCGCGACGGTTAATTTTCTTTCTATTGGGATAGATCCGATATTGTCGGACATGTTTTTAATGCGTGGTAAGATGTTGGTTACGGGAAATATATTCCTAGTGAAATTTTTTATATAAAGATGATTGTAAGGGATGGGAAATGAATTCGCTGGAAACATAAGTTTGCCTACATTGTGCATATGAGACTTAATTATTCATTACTCGACAATTTTCACATCAATAAACTTAATGATTGCGGTGATGAATGTAGCATAGATTGTACAGGCAAGGCGTCAATACTGATTGTACTTACAAAAGCGGAAAAACACCCTGGCTTGCTTAGGGAAACACAAAGTAATTTATCAACGGATTGTTCCCAAAACACGGCATCACAGTGTAGAATGCTCCAATCACTCACTCACACTCACCCGACTACTCAGAACACCATTGTTTTTCAAAGCCAACACACGGCTGGTCTGGCTTCGTAACTGCAGTCGTTTGAACACACACATTATTCCGCCTTGCCTATTCCGTGCTCGCGGTCGCAGCACTGTCACACTGGGCAAATGACCCTGACCGACCAAATCAAACTTCAGTACAGGTCCAATTTGAGAACGTTTACTTCCACCCGGTGTCGTACTCCCTCGTCCGGAATTGCTGAGTCCGGAGCCTCCACCACTAGTCGGTAGATTGTCCATGTAGGCTCTAAAGGATGCTTTGTATTTCTGTGATGTGCAACGAGACCAGGCGTATGTATGTTTATATAGAAAACGTTTTGGTCAGATTTTGATGAAGGCGTTTCTATTCAAAATAAGTGAATATATTTTATTCATCGAAAACGTCTACTCACGTATACATTCAATTCTGTTCTCATCACTCACTCACATCGCAACTGTTCCCAGAACAAATAAATGTGAAAAACTAAATCCGATGCATTTGCCAAAAGCGATCAAATAAACAATTGAACAGCCTTCAAATCAAAGCGTACGTCTGTATCTAAAGTAAGGTTTAATTATGCAGATCAATGAATAGGCTTTCTCCGGTTGTCACGTGTCAGAGCCTGGAAATAGAGGAATTAGTCTAACGGTAACCATGCTACGACCTGGCATCAAGATTTGAAAACCATGAGGATTTTACTTGGTAATATGTATCTTGTACGACTCCGCGGTTGTGATCATTGGGACCGTCCTACTTGATGCGCAGAGACAGAAATGAGTAGCAACAGTGAGCGATTTGGGTCACTGTCGGAAGAAGAAGAGATCATGCACCTATTCAGTTTCTTCGCACGCATTCTTCACGAGTTGGATAAAAACAGTGGAGTGAACTGTGATTAATGAGCTTTTTAATTCGTCAAATAACAAGGCATGGTCATAATTCGTAAACAAATTCACTCTCTGAGTTATTTTTTGGAACCTGCAAAATGGACAAAATGCATTTGCTCTAGCTGAACGCTTCCAGTCTAACTTTTTTCCAGAAAAATACGTCTTCGTAGTTAATCCCCCCTTTTTACTTAAAAGGATTCTGATACAAACTCTCTGCATTTGTGGAGTTGTAGACTTTCGATAACCTCTTGACAGCTTCAGAATTCTCTTAGAGATAGGGGTAAAAGTATCATAATACACACACGGCACAAGTAAGGCCTTGCTATTTACTTCTATTGCTATGCAACTATCTCAAGTTTGAAAATATTTCGCCTTCTGAGATATAGCTGACAGCAGCTATTCGTGCTTCGGTATCTGCGACAGGGTTGGCACTTAGTGTAATTCAGTTGTTGCGCTAGTATCCAAAAACGAATTGAAGATCTACGCCATGGACATCAGATTTAAGGGTACTAACCGACGTCTTCAGCTGAGCTCCTGAGGAGAAATATCCAATAAAGACAAATTGCAGACAGTAGGATTTTACTTGTGCGTCTTGCTTCTTGCCTGTGTCGTTGGAGAAAAAGGAAATTCTCTCTACCCCCTCAACATGTGACAGGCGGAGTTGAACCCCTTACGCCACTTAATTTTAACCATATATTAAAGAAACCAGTAATCGAAGCTTGTCCGTTTTTTGTATTATTCATTCTCAGAGATCACTTTTCGCTAGCGTATATTATGACGGGCCAAACACTGATTCGATAAACGTGCCGTTTCTAGTGCAGGCTCGACATTGCTTGTATTTCCGACATACAACCCATTCTAAACCGAAGCTGACAACTGGCTTTACCCCAGTAGATCCTTGTTGTACGCTGTAGCGATCGCTTTGAGCAAGTGGGTAGTGTTCTGATTGCATGGAAACTCATCACACTCATATTTAATGTCCCACTTCTAATACCTCTGTCATTTCCAGTTGCATACCTTGTTAGCAGATGATTCTGTGAAAGACGAGATTTAAAACCTATTCTAAGATGCAGTAAAAGGAGGCCCCAAGTGTTATATCCTACTAAGAGTCGGTAACTGAAATGTAGGTACCGAACAGTCAACCGGAGGAAATTCAACCCTGCTCCCCGATGTACCAACGAGGAACGTATCGTTACGCTTGCTGATTTTACTTATGATGTTGTCTTCAGTACACGGTTCCAACAAAACAGAAAGCATCCATTTTACACAGTACTATGATCATGGTAGAACAACAAACCAAATAGACCGCATTCTAATACAATCCCATTGAATGTCATTCATTGAGGACTGTGGAGCATACTGAGGTGCTGAGAGTCACAGTACCAACAGAATGGGTCATACATAAGCGGATGCTCGCCTTATGTGTCACCTAATAACGCATCACAAAGCATGCCCCTCGGAAAAGATGTACACTACCAACTTAGAACTCTCAGAGGACACAGCTGATCTTAGAGACCGTTATGTGGTCTATGACCGCAAAAATCAGTTGGACGAGCATGTAGATAGATGATGGAATACTCCCAAAACCATTTTGGAAGCAGCGCAATCAGGGAACCAGCACCGAAGTCCCGGTAACAAAAGGACTGGATTTCAGACAACACACTTCAGATCTCAACCAGAGCAGTGAAAGAAAGTGAGATTTCGTCAATCACCATTGAAGTTCATGTGTGAGCAGTCAAGAAGTATATCTTCTCAGTTCTGTGTTGTGAAAGATAGATGGGTCTTCATACCGTAAAGTACCTGACAATAAAAATGTATAGAACATTAGAGAATGATTCTGGTTCCGATGGCCGATATTCTGAGGAAAGCCTGGTCTTTCTGGAGATGATTTTCATTAAATAACATTGACCATTGTATTTACATAATTGCCATGTATTTTTAAGTTGTGTCCATATACTGTATCGCGACAACCATGCGTGCTTCAACTGATGAATGTTCACTTCCAATTCAGTTTCAATTAAGTAAAATAATACAGTGTTACATCATAAATAATAAAGCATAGATTACCTGCATCGCACTTGGGACGAAAGTCACGTTAACATAAGTAACAGAATGTGGTTCAATTAGAACCTTTTCCGGTTCCAATTCAAAGACATCCACACCGGGCGTGGAACGACTGCTGGAACGGCTTGTTGCAGCCGCCTGAGCACTGGTAACATGTCCCACGATTTCGAACGACACTTCCGCAGGAACTTGACCGCGATTTGCGACACAGAATCTGGCGCGAACTCGGGCACCGACTAAAGCATTGGTGAACATGAAACAGTTTTCTTCTATCCCGTATACTCCCCCAGAATGAATCTGGAATTGAACAAACGGTAAGTAAGGCCCTAATTCGGTGACTCTATATATGTTGAAAGTGAAAGTAGGACTTTTGAAAACTGCTGGCATCAAGTAGACTGTGTATAGAAGAGGTGTCACAAGCAACTCCTATCCATACTGAAAATTTAAGTATATTAGTTGACGCATGAGGAAATAACTGAGGCGATGTTCAAGTGTTTTCAAGAAAAACGATATGAATGTTCCCTCTCTTAAACAATGCTTGTGAGATTCAGAACATTCGAGTAGAAATGAGTTGCCATTTTGCAGGTCGTGATGTGAAGCGATAGCTTCGTATACATCTGTGGTGCATAGCACCTCTTCAAAGTTGTAAATATATATAGACATAAAGAAAAACGGTTCGGGAATAACTATGGTGCAAAGCAACAAGAGTGACTGAACCATAGAAATTAACTTCTATAATATTCAAATTTTGTATGTAACGGATCGTTCACAAAAGAGTCAACTTAATTTTTCTCTCAAGTTTCATATTTATGGGGATAGTCGTCCTGCAACATATTCTGGCAAATGTATCATCAGACTTCAGCTTCAGTTCATACAACAGTTTCAGTTCGTATAACCATTGACCATGAACTTACGTTCTTACAACAATTAACGATGCACTTTGGTGTGGCTGTTTTGGTTGATATCTATTGACTGCCCATTTGGATAAAAGAGCACAATGAAGATTGGAATGATGAGAGCAGAGTCAAAGTGAAGATAGAGAATTCATGTAGACTGGGGTTGCAAGAATAATGAGCAGGTGTACGAGCGCTACTGTTTGCGACACCCAACCATATCACTCAGTGTCTCTAACCACCGGTTACCATGATCTCGGGGTCTACATCCCGGAATCCTAACTGGACCTATGTGACCGAGTCTCCTGATTAGGGTTTTCATACCCTCATGCTAAGTCTTAGTTTGACCACCCTTGACCTTTTCCAACTGCTTCTTGACTTGACGAAAATCGCACACCGCAGCTACCATCGCAGTTTTTGGAGGTCGATCAATTGTTCCAGTGGACGACTGCCTGACCTCAGCATTGCTTGTCCGGTTTGTCCACCGGACTCGAGAAATGCGGCACAGACATCGATGTTAGAACACCTTCAGCCTAATTTTATCCTGTTTCCGTAAGGCCCGTAGAGCGGAACTGGCATAACTGCCGCAGCATGCCATTCACGGACAGCCGGATGTCGCGACGGCGCCACAGATGTCTTAAGTAGGCAAATGCCTATCGAGCCTTCTGTATACGTGCCGACACTTCATCTGTGACCCGTCCGCCAGGTGAGATATAACCGAACAAATAACGAAATTTGTCCATTTTCTCTACTACTTAGAGCGAGGTTGAGGGCTGTGCCAACCGAATCTTGTAGTAGCATTTTACACTTTGAAGGTACAAAACGCGTATCGAATATGGCTTGATTTGTTATCAATACACCCTAGAAAACCTATTACCGTTTGTATATTCATTCGAAACAAGATTTCATTTGAAAATATTTATCTCAGAGATACTCTGCCAAATCAAAGATTTGGTATCAACCAAATGGACAAATGCCTATTAAATGTCATGATGACCAACAAGCTCACCTCATCAGAGGACTCCTCGTGTTGAAACATTTGTAGGTTTTGACTTATGCGGTGCTCTTCAAAGATAACACTCGGGTCGTTAGTAACAATGCCTGGAATGTGACCTTCAGCAACCAGCATATATGGTACTCCGAAACGATACGCTTTCATATCTCGGTCCGTGATTTCGATGGCGAGCTCCTAAAACAAAAGAAAACTCTGGATAGCTTAATTTGCTTACTATTGTTTATGTGCGTTAGTGAAACCGATAAGGGAAATGTACGTATATGTATACCACTGATACCCTAGATAATAAGATTTCATTTCTTTCCATAAATTCGATTCGAGTTTACGAAATATCGAACTGCTGAAGAGTAATAAAATTGCACTTTTATCTAGTTTGTACGTCCCTTTGCAATCTTGTTAATTCATCCTCTGAGTAAGAGGCATTTTGAAGGGTACATTTGCGTGGGTTCTGGGGCATATCTACAAGCATCTATACGCAGTAATTTAACTGCCCTAACGTTCCCTTGAGTAATTTAGGAGAAGTAATTCAACAATTCGGTCTAACGCGTCTCGTCACAGGTTAACTATTCCGACGTTTTTGAGTACAATATGGAAAATAATTTGTGTAGACACTCTTGCAGAACACTTGCCCGATTTTGCCGACTGTTTTGTTGAGCGGGATTCATTCGGAACCTTCTGTCTAAATCTCACAAGTCAAATTACTTCGACTGTTCTAAACACAAAGCCTGAAAGTAGTTTTATCAACAAGTCCGAGCCATTTGGCATTTTGATCCAGATATGGCAAGGTATGAAGTTTCATTTTGAATCGAAATATGGAATGATTCCTATTTTACCATTTTTTTCTATTTTTTACTATAGATCTCTTCTTACTGCTTACGGTTGAACCTAGTTGAACGGATAGATTATGCGCTCATTTGGTCCACTGCAAAAAGTAACGTTATTCTGATCTGAATAAAGAGTTATGTCCAACGTTCACTGGACAAAACCGGATTACGTTTTCGGTTGAGTATGATGGCCAAATTCCGCAGTATTCATTCAATAAGATATTCTGGTATTTGATCGATGATGACATTTCTGGGTATGTGATGGGAGTCAGGCACCGATTTGTAAGGTCAGAGATTTTAATATTTCAAACCATCACTAGTAGCGTTTGGTAATGGACGACGTCATTCATTCTTCAATCAATGCATCACTATCAGTGTAAGTTGTTATCTGGTTGGCGACTTTCAGTCCCGAGGTTCAGTTTTCTGTTCTTCCAATACAAACTACAGATCATCGTGACTACGGGGTCCAGCGGTCAACGTATAAACATACTCTGATGGATAATAACGGAGGGTGATAACTTACGGTAGAATGTCAGAAATAGTTAAGAAAATTGAGTGGTTAAATAATGATTCTCCTTTTACACATTGTTTGAATCCAAACTGCTCCAAGTATCGTACCTGTTGAATCCAATTCAATCTCCAAACAGACGTTCCCTGACCATACCTCAAACCTCAGGTACCTTTCCCCAGCCATCCTTCATTATCTCTTTATTTGTGTCATTTCGTCCCTTTTCTTACTGGACGTGCTACGACTGCGTTGATCCAGTGGGTCTATTGATCCGTCCGTCTATGTTCTCTTGCCAGTGACCCGTATCACGTTCGTCCTTAGTTGTTCGCCCCCACCACCCTACGATTTCCTTATTTGTGCCCGATAGGCATCTGTCGATCGACACACACATGTACGCCCAACAAGTTCATTGTTCCCGTCCCTCACGGGATTGGTATTTTGACCCCGTACATTTGATTGGCTGGCTGTCAGTCATTGAACCCTTGTGCACTTGTGCTTGCATTCTGACCGTTGACTTTGACCGAACTGCACCAACTCATAGTCTTTGAGTTGAACGCTATGACAGCCTTTGAAGGCTCATTTTGACGCACTATTGTACCTTGACAGCGCAAACACGCACTCCTCGAGTTGTTTCACGATTCGAGCTCTGTACTTATTTTATATTAACCATTCGTTGTATAAAATAGTACTGCATTTCAAGACTCTCGTCTTCTGTTGACATCGGGATTTGCGCGTCACTCGATTAGGACGGATTAGCAGTGTGCAATCTACTTAACAGAACCTAGTCAAGAGATTCTACAGTACCTCCGAGGCAAGTTATAATGGAATGAGTGTGTGCATACACGCGCGCGCAAATAAACAACATGATTCACTCACCTCTGCACTTTTAGTACGTGTTTCTGCAAAGCATTCAACAGTGATAATCTGTGCGTTGTTTGGTGATACAGTTCCACTGGCCGGAGTGATTGTGAAGAAACCAAGCTGTAGTTTCGTTTGTGGACTGCTCAGCAACGCCATATCACCGCTTGATTAAGGTTTATTAAAGTATGAATGTAGACGCGAACCATTATATGAAGTAAGTGTCTACAGAGATATTTAGGCTGAAGAAAGTTAACAAATTTGGGCACAATATTCGAACGTATGTGGTGCTATAAGATAATGGTGCATTCACAATTTTCACCACGTGAGTTATGTGCAGTCTATGCACCGGTTATACAGAGCGAGGATTGCGGAAATAATAAAATAAAATAAAAATAAGGGAACGAAACAATCCAGATTTCGATTTGTAACATTTAAATTTTTCCTGATAGTGATCCAAACATGGAAATTGGGGACTTCGCATAAACAAAAGCGGTAAATTCGCATAAAGGATAGTAAAGTACGTTGAAGTATGTCAATATTGTGACAGAAACAGCAACATCGTCTCCGAATTACGGTATAAAATTTCTGTTTGCACAACTCGGTACTGCTATACGAGGGTTTCGGTTGTTAACATGCGGATTCCCACTTGGTCAACCAACTATAAAGGGACAAGCAGTAAGAAGTTTAAAGATCGGAGCACCATCAAAATAAGATTATAGAATTTATTTTCTGCGTAGAGGACCGCGCTTTAAAATATTCTGCCTCATCATCTAGTGTTTGTGACCATTTACTAATTGGGTCACAAGACTTACAACCGAGAAACCGAACGCGACCGATATGACCGATCCCGCTGAACCAAGGTTTTATATTAGGTTCCAGTTTACCACTTTGTGGCATGCATAACACTTGCAGGTGATTCAACGCGGGCATGACTTAAGACTGCTCTTGCCTTCGCCATTAAATGTCCGATTGTCCCACCATGTTCTTTAAAAACCATTAGTTGAATGGTAAAAAGCGTACTCATTGACTTTTGTTTGCCTAAAGAGTAGTAGTGAACTGGAATAGAGAATAGAGAGAGTAATGGGTTCGGGTGTTGTAGCCAGTGTGTTTGTATTTGAGCATTCAGCTGGAATAGTATAGTCTTGCATGAGTGCACAGAGTCTTGATTAACCGAATCTGAGTATAGAATTCAATCCGTGCATTTTGCAACGGATGGGCAGAGTACTACTTGAAAGATCACCAGTACAGTTGTAATTGAATGCAGTTCACAATAAATATTGTAAGGGTATTCGAACAGAAGTTGCAAACAGTGAGGATTCCCAATAGTACTGAGAAAAACGATGGTGGATAGTTGTATAAAGCTAATGTTAATTTGCATGGACGTGCTAACACTGTTGGGTAACTGTAGGCACTACTTAGACGACCGAAATAGAGTACGACGTTGATTTAAGGAACCTAACTCTGATTCTTGGAAAGATTAATACGGCAGGCAAAGTACCAGGTGTAAACGTCATAACAAGTTCATAGTGTCGTCTTTTTTTTACTGAATTCAGCTGAAAGTGATTCAGCAACAGACAATAAGAGTAACAGCTAAAGATTAGTGACAACAAATTCGTGCACGAAAAAGCTACCGGACAACAACTAAGGGGAAACTGGATAGAAACAAGATAACCTGGAATAAGTAAGTTTGGTCGACAAGAAGAGCACAAAATGATATCACGGGGGTGTGTTCTGGATGATCAGCGTATGTATGACCGCAAATGACACAATGCTAGCGTAGTTTTAAAAAGTAGCACCAATACGTTTTTACGACGAATCACAATTTACCACAATGATCAATGAATGCACCATGATTGGGTGATACGTACAACACTTAACTATAGGTAGTTACTGAAATTAGGGATTTGTTGAAGGATCGGGTGTCTCAAGCTTACCCAACACGGATTCGCTGAACACCTTTGTTTTGATTGACGACTTTAGGCCTGCTTCTATTATACAGTATAAGAAACAGATGTAATGTTGCATCAGTTTTTGCTGTATTGACTACACAAAGCATGCTGAGATAACTATATAGTATTCATAACTTCCAATCAGCTATTCAAGTGGAAAAGTGTGATTGAGTTTCTTGCTGTACTTCATAATGGAATAACAGGTAACGGGAAATATGATTTCTTACATAAAACAAATCAATCACTGTTATGCAACAGAAAGGGCTTTCGGTCTAATAAGTCCATGAAATTTTCTTCCGGACAATCTTCATTTAAGTGAGCAGAATACACACGTGTTGTCAGGTGCATATAAAATGAAAACAACGGAAAGCTTTCAAAATTTAAAAAAAAAATTCAGTGTGATCTATGTTTGAACTCGCACGAATTGACCTCCGATTTAGTTGATTAGTTTTCGCCGAAAATATTACCATCATGTATACTCTGTCTCTGGAAACCGATAAAACTCAATAGTATGTAAAATGTGAATTTTCCATCGGTCATAATTGATAAGGCCTTGCTTATATCGATCTTTATCTGTGTTCCTTTACGATGGGATAATCACAAATGCTGTTCCTCCATGATCTGGCCCTGACTGTTGTCGTTCGGCTTTTGATCCTCTCCGTCAGCTAAAGTTATGTACACACATAATGATGAATGTATATATATTTTGTGGATTTGTTCCGTTTAGTTGCACACTCGGGGGATGATGCGGACCATTCTCATGGAATAAAGACACCTTGATAAGAGCTTTATATATATATATATATTACGGTTGAAGCACCCCAATTCTAACAGCCCAAAAGCATCCTTTATAGTTTATACCAAGTATTTCTGTTAGGTGTCTGATAACAAAAAATATTGAAACATTACTTACGATTTGGATCGGATCGTGCCAGCATCACGCGCAGCGACTAACTCGCGCATTTTGGTCATGCGAAGGATAGAATATCGGAAGTCGTGTTCTCCATTATTTTCAATGATTATTTGCCGAGTTTTTCTATGCTGTACAATAATGGCACCAAAGTCCGTTTGTACTGAAGGCGAAATTGTAAATCTGTGAAGATAAATTAAATATTCTCACAAAGTATCCTCGAAAGTTTGTCTGTATTTTCACATACACGTTACGTAGAGTAACTCAAGATCCAAGAAAAACATGATTTTTGTTATCTAGGGAATAGGTTCGAATTTGATCTTACTATTCAGGTGAAATAATGTTGCTTTTTTCACTGTATCCATTGTGTACCATTGTTAAGAACCTTGTCAAGGGTGCATCTCATTGCCAGAAATACTTAAGAAACCGCATTTGATTCAAAGAAATCGGTGTTATTTGAGGGAATCGCGGCCTAAATGGAATATTGAGAGCCTAGACTGACTCCACTCGTACAATGAATCATGCTCACATTCACGTCTGGGCATGGTGACCGTCTTGTCGATTAATCTTGACGTGATTCACTTCCATACCCGACCGACAGAGGTCAATGAACGCCGGGTTCGTTCATTCTCGTCTTTGACGCTCACCCGACCAACAATCACGGACAAAATGTTCCTCGCTTGGTAATTCACTCAAAAGTTAGTTTATTCGAACTGGACGGGGTTTAGACAGACCCGGTCCAATCGGTGACGTTTGACGGCCGAAACACCAATAGTCTTCTGGGGTTTTCGTGGAATGCGATTGGTTGGATTCACTTGAAGTTAAAATGGTACATAGTGGACCTCGTGAGGTATCTAGGAGTTACCACAGTCACACACTTAAAATGATCATTCCATATTTACAACTGTGTAAAGAAACTTCGTGGATTATCTTTGCATCTTCGAAGACTTAGGCAGTTCGATGCCAAGCAAAAATCATTTTGCTTTTTGTTTATCAGTGTTTTTCCTGTTCTTCTTACTTTTTCCCGGTGGTTTTTACTGGGCTACTCAAGAAAGACTTCAGAGTTCTTCGTCGATGTTTGTTTTTTATCAGTCATGTGTCTTTTGTTCCTACTGATGATCTACCTAAAAAGCGATGTGAACCTCACTTGTCCGCATGTGAAACATTTGCACTGAAAATCCTCTCGCATCCTACTCATCCTTTACATAGCGATCTATCCAAAAGCTGCCCTCATTCATCTAAGAGTTCTACAGAACGATTATTACTCTCTGTCAATAACTTCTACAGAAATTCCCCAGTTCCCTATCTCGGCAGAATCCTTGTATACCAACAGAGCGTTTCTTCTGACTTTCTCAGCAACTTTGAAGGTTGAAGGTTTTACTTTTAGTATTTCCTTCTTTTGATGAGATGTGTAATTTTTGACTGAAATGTGGACATATGTCCATGCAAAAATGCATACAAATATAAATACATAATGCAATACATTTTCATTATGTGCCAGGTTGCTGCCATTGATATTGTGGATAGAATGCATTTGCCAATTTGGGCATTACCTAGAAAAATGTAGTTCTGTTGGTTTTTGAATGAGTTAAAATTTAATTTCGTTATTCAGGTGAAATGTCGTTCGTTTTTGTACCATCATTATCTTGTATCTTGTCAAAGGTGCATTTTCAATCTCAGAAATATGTAGGCAATTGCGTTTGGACGAAAGGAATTCGAGGGAACATTGGTCTCAATGGAGTTCACTCACTAGGTCTTTGAATAGATTGAAGTCACTCATGTAATGATTCATTCCAACATTCCCGCCTGAGCACGGTTACAGATTTATCGACACATCTTGATGTGATTCGTTTCCTTACTCGATAGACCGAGGTCAATTAGCTCCAGGTTTGTTC